GACTTTATATGGTATAGTATTAGTTGATATACATACGTCATCAGAAGTAATGTTAAAAAAATCGGCAATCAGAAATCTGAAATCATCGATTTCTTTTTTTTTTTTTTGATCTACAAATTTCACATTTTTTTGCAAACCGCAATAACTAATTAATATATTAATTAATTTAAACTTTGTAAATAGATTACTCTTGTAATTAATATATTATAAAAGTTCTACTACAATTTTTTTAAAAAAATAACCTATCTAGTTACTACTAGCACTAAATACTTTTCTTTAACATTAATTAATTACTATTTGTCGATTTCTTTTAGTCTTGTATACAAAATACAAATAAATAAACCCAAAGCTTTTTGTTGTAATTCAAATAAAATTAAATAATAATTCCTTGGTGCATAAATCTTTTAATTGAGCTCATAAGCCAAAATTTCAACATAAACGCGGTACTGTGCTTTAATATTAAATATGAGTGCTGCCAGGAGAAAGAGGCCGATCGGACTTTTAATATATTTTGTGTACAGTTAGCCGTCTATGGAAAATTTATCATTATAATAAATTTTCATAGACGGCTAACTGTACACAAAATATATTGAAAGTCCGATCGGCCTTTTTCCCTTGGCTGCACTCATATGAGATAAGATCAAGGAATTTTTAAAAGCTGAATATTATCAATTTATATAATTTAAATAAACCACCACTAAAATCAAGTTTACATATACTACTTTAAAAAATAGTGTTAAATTCTCTTTATATAATTTCTAATAAACTAATCGATTAATTAATTAATCGATTAATCGATCAGTCGAATAGCTGATTAGTCGATTAGTTGAGCTTATCCAACTACAGGTTTTATATACCAATTTTGGACAATCAAGTTCGGACATTATCGTTATAGCAATCAAATTCGGACATTATAGCTAGAATGTTCGAATTTTATTGCTACGTATGTCCGAATTTGATTGCTTAGGTGTCCAAAATTGGTATACAAAACCTGTATTAATTTTTTAAAAGGCAATCGATTAACTAATCGATTGCATTTTTTGTTCCGATTTGGATCACTATATGTATAGTGCAGGAAACATAACGTTATATAGAATAAAGGTTTACTAACATTGAAATAAAATAAATTTGTCGTTCTCAATAGCATGCTATTGCGTACATATTGTTCTTTGCTTATTGTTTTTATTCAAAGAGATTTAGAGTTCTAGACCCTTTGCTTATTGAGATCGATAATTTAGGAATTTATTTTCTATGTGCAACTAGTTTATGAATCATCTCTACATAGAATATCGTACGTACGTACAATATTATTACAGCTGTTTTCAAAAAGATTTGGAAAACGATTTCCATATACCCATGTGGGAAATCTCGAAGAATGCGGAAATTCTACTTAGTAAAAATTAAAAATCCGATTAGAGCGGATCTTGAAAACTCCGGAAATCTGGGAAATACCGTATACTTATCTGCACGTCAGATAATTAAATATGGTAAGGATGATCAAATCAATTGCATATAAATTGACAGATAACGTAAGGGCATGATCCGAAATTCAAGATGATTCAAATTCTTCCTAATGAGCTACAAATTGAAATTTTAAATTATGTTATTGTAGAAACAAAGTAAGATAATTATTTAAATTAAATGTTTATTTAATTTAATATTAATAATAAAATAATAGATTTCAGGATTTTTGCGTACTGCGAACTGTTTGCAAACAATGGAATGCATTTGTTCCTTTAATAATGCACAAAGCTGTTATCTCTGATTTAAATTCTGGTTTGAAACTTGAGGTAATTAAAAAAAATTTTTTTAAGATAAATACATGTCAAATTTAATTTATATATTATCACCTTTTATTACTGTAGTTAGCGCACTGGAATGATACTAAATGGACTAAAAAGTTATCACCAACTTATGACGATTATTCTAAGACATTTACTTTTCTATTTGATAATTCTGATGATGAAATCATTAGCCCTCTCAATGATAATAAAATCAGTTTTGCAGCATTCGTGGAAAGGAAAGAAGATAAGCTATTTCCACTTAAGCTTGGAATCGAATTAGGAGATTTAACTTTTCCAGAATTTGTAAATAATGATTTATATAAATATGAATTCAATCATCGAAGTAACGTATGTTTCAAACGGTTGATCAAATATGATGATGAAAATAATAGCATTATTTGTGTGAAACTTTGTAGTTTTACCATTGAAGCATGGAAGCTTTATTATATTTTAGATTGTCTTAAACTTACTTTGTATGTTATATATATGTATATTTTATGTTTATTTATGTTTAGCTCTTTAATCTTAAATTATATCTTATTTTGTAGAGAAGTTTCAAAGGGTGTTCTCAAGCAATTCCCTCAATGTGATCTGATGGTGATTGAGATAATACTCAAATTATTACAATTTATGATCGTAATAATGATTGCAATCATTGTTTGAGTAAACATCCTTGCTTTAATCTATTATCGCTATATCTTCAGCAAATCGTAAAAAAAAAAAAGAGGCGACTATCTAACAAACTAATGTAACTCCTTTTGCAACATATCAACAAACAAATATAAATTCAAGTGCTTTACGAATATTCATATGTTGTTTACAGCAACAATATTCGCAGCTTTTTCTCCTTTAACTTTGAACAAAACCAACGCCGAAAATAATGAGGCATTTCAATATTAAAATTTTAATAAAAGAATAAAATAAATAGGCGGCCGATATACATACCCCCAATTTTGTTGTTTGTACCCTTTTTTTTTTTAACTTTAGGCAAAGATATCGCGACAACCACTGAGTAAATTCAATAAATATTTTTTTATTCGAATTCTAATATTTGTAGAATTCAAAAAAAAGTTCATTGAATTTGACTTGGTAGTAGTTGAGATATATTCGCTAAAGGTTGAGAAAAACTTTGCACAGCTTTATTTGATAGATATTTTAAGTTTTTTTAAAACTTTGAGTGAAGATATCTTGACAATCACAAAGTCAAATTCGATGAACATTTTTCTGTTTGAATTCCATATGTTCATAGAACTCAAATAAAAAAAATTCATCGAATTTGACTTGGTGGTTGTCAAGATATCTTCGTTTAAAGGTTGAGAAAAATTTTGGCGCAGCTTTATTTTGATAGACGTTTTGAGTTTTTTAAAACTTTGAGCAAAGATATCTCGACAACCACCAAGCCAAATTCGATAAACATTTTTTTTTATTTGAATTCTATATATTTGTAGAATTCAAATAAAAAAAGTTTATCGAATTTGACTTGGTGTTTATCAAGATATTCGCGCCAAAGTTTTAAGAGAACTCAAAACATCTATCAAAATAAAGCTGTGCCAAATTTTTTCTCAAGCTTTGAGCGAAGATATCTTGACAACTACCAAGTCAAATTCGATAAACTTTTTTTTATTTGAATTCTGCAAATATAAGGAATTTAAATAAAAAAATATTTATCGTATTTGACTCAGTGGCTGTCAAGATAAAACTGCGCCAAAATTTTTCTCAACCATTGAGCGAAGATATCTCGACAACCACCAAGTCAATTCGATGATTTTTTTATTTTTTTTTTATTTGGATTCTACGAACATATAGAATTCAGATAAAAAAACGTTTATCGAATTTGACTTGGTGATTGTCGAGATATCTTCACTCAAAGTTATAAGAAACTCAAATTCAATAAACTTTTTTTTATTTGAATTCTACAAATACTAAAATTCGAATAAAAAATTGTTCATCGAATTTGACTCCGTG